CGACTACGATGCCGGCGAAACGTTTGAGAATGTATCAAGTCCACTGTCTGATGCTGGTAATCATGACAACTACTATGACAGACGACTTAGGACTAGTTGCGTTCTACTAAATCGCCTAAACAACGAGGTCAACCCACTTTTATCAATCGAAAGGAGACTGCGACCACACCATCTTTGTCTTCATATATTCAAATAAAGCCTACTGATATCATTGTGAAAATTCACCTGTCAGTCCTTAGTAACCTTAAACGAAATAGGGTGTATATAGGAATAAGGATAGAATTAAAGAAATCGCGCGGGAGGACAAAGAGTAATTTAGGGTCATAGATTTATCTGTCCTACCAAAAGAAGCAGGTCGATTATCTTCGCTAAATTTTTATTATTATATTCTAGCTCTCCCGAATGTATCTCAGGCCTTACTCTGCTCTTTTCAAGACAGTGACTTCCGATATTGTTTCGGCCCAATCCGGAAATTCCTGAGTATGAACAAAGGGTAGCCGGGTTTCGATAAATCTATTGGGATTACATCGTTGTGGAAAACTCGATTCCGTGTGAAAGTTCAAGGTGAAGAGATTACATGACCTATCGCGGCTTAATTCCGTTGTTATGCCGTATTTTGGCTCTAAAATGCCATTCATGTTAGTGCAGTCCGCCCGACAACCTTCTTCGGGATGCCACATGACGGAGATCGTGAGATGAAATTCATTCTTGCTAAATGCCCTGATGTTCGTGTGTTCAAATGTGAGTTAAAATGACGATGCCAGTTAAATGACGGACGAAAGATAAATCCATTTCCACCCAAGCGACGGAGGATATCTGATGGACTAAGTTTACCTGCACTTCGCAATAAAATTAAACAACCGCCATCTTCTGGTAAGATCGACCTAAAATTATCATCCTGCACTTTCCAAAGAAAATAATATTTTCACAAGAATACGATTTCAAAATAGTCATAGAAACCCAGCAACTATACCTGACCCATTATTTGTTCTCTCTCTCTCTCTCTCTCTCTCCTATATTCTCTTAATCTCTCAGAACAATCGGGCAATTACTTTGTATAGAAATTTGTCTCGCGTTCTTTTTAGCTAAAAAAGGCCACCACTCGGAGTTAATGCAATAATACTAATTTCGTTTAAAGAGGCGAGTGAAAGCCATTCGTCAAGTGCCTCACTAGGAACTACCTGGGACCTTTGGATCCCTCTTCAAACAACATATGAAGTAGGTAAACATCAACCGACTGATGACTTCTCCAGGACCCAGCGTTTTTTCATATTTATGACCTATTTAAAGTAAATGCAGCTGATAGGTCCGATTCATTTGTTGTGAGATATGGTATTTGCATCAACAACAGCAAATGGGATTGAGGAATATTTAGGAAGGAGTAATTAGGCCGAATGCCTTATTCGGTAATGCAGCCAGTGTGTGCAGAAAAACCTAAACGTCCAGTTTACATAAAAAACGATGGTACTCGCAGACATCAGGTCTGAACTAAGGAATAAGCTAATAAAATTGACGAGATGTATTCACCCTATTTCATTTAAGCTGAACAAGGACTGGCAGAAGAATTTTCCCACAACGATATGAGTAGAGCTGACGCTCCAATTGAATTTCACATTGTCTCGCTTTCCCAAAAGTTGTTCTCATCCCGGCTGGAGTGGACTGCAGTTGCAACCTCGCATCGGTCTTATCCACACCCCCAAAGGGAGTCGAACCGTGACAGTGCAGAGTGGGAGCTTGACACGCTAACCACTGGGCCACATTGACACGAATGCTCTTGCTATAACAATCGACTAAGTTAAAGTAATGTTTCGAGACTACCAGTAAATCAGTAATATGAGCTATATTCACCCAAGTTCGTTTAAGGTGAATACGTCTCATATTACTGATTTACTGGTAGTCTCGAGACAATACTTAAATGCGAAAAATAGTAAAATTTAGTTAAGGAGAAATTCGAAGACTTTATGAGACCTTATGAGATGGAATCTCATACACTGCCAATCGTATGAATCGCAGTCGCATTCAGGACCCAATTGGTTGGAATAAAAGTACAATAAAAACGGGCAATGGGCGGAAAATGAATTAAGAACCATTAGTACTATGATTGGTTGATGACCCTTATTATGCCCAAAAAAGGTCAAACGTGAGTTCACAATGGGGAGGCGAAGGATAAAGACATTAAACAAGTAAGAGATCTGTGTTATGGTCGGCTCGTTACCTGAAGTTCCATTCAATTGTCCACATGGCGACCCTGTGAGCCCGGCCAGAGTAGACATCAGCTGATGAGAATTTGTGACAGTCTGTTGAGCCTGCTGAATATGGGACGGAGACTGAGATGTCTGTTGCTGTTGCGACTGTTGCTGCTGTTGATTTTGAGATGATTGGTTTTGCTGCTGTTGCGAAGACTGTTGCGACGAAG